GAGGGGGGGAGCCTGGTAAACATAGTGTTCTTCATGTAATTGTAGATTAATGATAGCAAAAAATAAAAGAAAATAAATAAAAAAACAGCTAGAACATTAAAAAATAAAATAAAATAAAATAATAGGTTTTCAACACCCTAGTAAAACATATGGCAGGAGAAAAAGATGAGCCAGCTCACCTTTTGATTTCTCCTTTAGTGGTACCACAGTAAAGATCTCCTTGGTCTTCTTTATTCTAAAATTATATATATATATATATAATTATTTTTTATATAAACACAGGGTACATTAACTTTTAAAAATACAGTAAAAGACAAGAAGTATGCTTCAGTGAATTCACTTGTTGAAGACATCAAGTGGAAATTAAATAAAAGTAAGGAAAGGAAACTCCTTCCATCGTAACCAATTCAATCAGAAGCAGATATGAGCCAACTCATTACCTTGGTTTTTGCTAATAAATTTTATCAGTGGATGAGTGTTATGTCTAACTTTTCCTATGTTTATATTAGCTTTATCTTAACTGTTACCCATTATGATTCAGGGGAATGCTAAGTGCAAGGGGATGAAGAGTAGATAATCACTTATTTGTACACTTTTTAACTATTAATCACTACAATCTGAATTTTTTCATAATTAAGTTTTTTCCTACTGGAACAGACCTAGATAGTAAGTATGTTTTTAGAGGAAATATGATTGAAATTATTGTGGCTGAGGTAATCCATAACAATTAAAATTTTCTTATAACTATATTAAACTTCAGAAGTCAGCCACCACTTTTAAATGCTCTTCTCTAGGATTATCTATTATCAGTCATATTACCAGAGTGCACCTTGAGGTTCACTGAAAAGTTATGACTATCATTAAAGAAATTTGAAAACATATTAGACTTTTTTCAGCACTTAAAAATCAAATGCAGTTGACTCATGAAAAAAGTGAGGGATTAGGGGTACTGATTACTGTCCCCCCTCCCTACCTTGTCAGAAGTTCACATATAACTTTTAATTTCCCCAGAACTTAACTACTATTAGCCTGCTGTTGACTGGAAACCTTAATGATAACATAAACAGTTGATTAAGATATATTTTGTATATTACATGTAATTTATACCATATTCTTACAATAATGTTAGCTAGAGAAAATAAAACATCTTTTCAAATTCCAGAAATCTCTACAAAATTTTCCAAATAATATTTATTGAAAAAATAATCCATGTATAAGTGGATCTGCACAGTTCAAACCCATGTTTAAGGGTGAACTATAATCACATGCAGAGTGATAAAAGAGAGAATGGGGTTGTAAATAATAAACAAAAAGGAGCACTTCCCTGCTTTGCCAGGGTTGTTCTTTCATAGGGTGCTGTGCAATATGCAGAGGCGAATAAAGTACTTGAAGGCAACTAGGTATGTTCTTACTAGAATGGCTAAAATAAAAACATTTGTTTCAAAGACAGGGAAAAGAACTAACATTTACATTTGCCAAGCACTTCATAAACATGGCACATAGCCACCACTCTTCCACTTTGCATATGAAAAACACTTGTCATAACAGTGATATAATGTATTCAAATTATCCTTCGTCAACTTAAGTAAATTCACACTGTAAGTCAGTGTAAAATATTGAGGAATCATTTACAAACAGCTAAAATCACAAATGAAAAAAAAGCTGAAATAGAGTGAAAACAGTAGGAAGCAAAATGAAGACTTCAACTTAAAAGGCAGAATAGGCTAGTTCAGTGTGTGCTTTCTGGGTTATCAGTTTCTTAAAGATGATCATGCACATTGAAAGGATAACAAGACTGGTCTATACTGAGGCAAGTCCTTGCCAGAGAGAGCCCTACACTCTCCTCAAAGGGCACTGTGACTCCAATGAAAATGACAAAAGCAAGCTGAGTGTCAGGAATACAGGTGTATTGGTTATGGTGGAAACTCACTGTCCTTAAGTAGGATTTATATTCCTCTTGTTTCCAATGGTGTTTCTCTACTCCCTGCTATCCCTCCTCTTTAACTGTTACCGTCAACTACTAGTGACTCTTTCACCAACTCTGACTCTGTCTTATTTCATTATAATTTCAATTGAGAAAGAGTAATTTTGCTTTTTTATATTTTTATAGCTTGGCAATATTCCTCAGATAAGATCTAAAATGATGGGAAAGGCCTTATGCTTTGCTTACTGTGGTATTATTTACAAAACCAAAACAGTTAACACAGCTTAGAAGTCCAACTATAGGAAATGGCTAAATAAACTAGGGATCCATCAATGAAATGCAATGTAACCAGTAAAGACTGTTGGAAGATTACATAATGACATGAAAAATGTGTACATGCAGCATTAAGTAAAAAAAGCAGAATAAAAAATTGCAGGTCTAAAATCACAACTAAAATGAAAATCCATGAAAATGAAGAAGGAAAGAAAAGAATGCTCAAAAATTAAAATGGACATGTTAAGATGGGTAAATTATCAATAATTATTTTTATTTTTTCCCCAAATTTCCTGCAAAGTTCTTATTTTCTTAAGTATAAATCATGTATAACTTTTCATTTTTATTTACTTTCTAGTTCTCTGTTTATATTACCAGAACTTATCTTCAAGACTAATTAACAAAAACAGTAACATGGAAAACTCAAGAAATATATTCTGAAATTCCAATACTTGGTGTGCTATGTATGAACTAGATGACTTCAAAGTTCATTACAGTAAAAGCTAATATAAAAATATAAATCCTCCTCTACAGAAAGCTGCAACTCAGACTGCTATATGGAAAAGAACTAACATTTACATTTGCCAAGCACTTCATAAACATGGCACATAGCCACCACTCTTCCACTTTGCATATGAAAAACACTTGTCATAACAGTGATATAATGTATTCAAATTATCCTTCGTCAACTTAAGTAAATTCACACTGTAAGTCAGTGTAAAATATTGAGGAATCATTTACAAACAGCTAAAATCACAAATGAAAAAAAAGCTGAAATAGAGTGAAAACAGTAGGAAGCAAAATGAAGACTTCAACTTAAAAGGCAGAATAGGCTAGTTCAGTGTGTGCTTTCTGGGTTATCAGTTTCTTAAAGATGATCATGCACATTGAAAGGATAACAAGACTGGTCTATACTGAGGCAAGTCCTTGCCAGAGAGAGCCCTACACTCTCCTCAAAGGGCACTGTGACTCCAATGAAAATGACAAAAGCAAGCTGAGTGTCAGGAATACAGGTGTATTGGTTATGGTGGAAACTCACTGTCCTTAAGTAGGATTTATATTCCTCTTGTTTCCAATGGTGTTTCTCTACTCCCTGCTATCCCTCCTCTTTAACTGTTACCGTCAACTACTAGTGACTCTTTCACCAACTCTGACTCTGTCTTATTTCATTATAATTTCAATTGAGAAAGAGTAATTTTGCTTTTTTATATTTTTATAGCTTGGCAATATTCCTCAGATAAGATCTAAAATGATGGGAAAGGCCTTATGCTTTGCTTACTGTGGTATTATTTACAAAACCAAAACAGTTAACACAGCTTAGAAGTCCAACTATAGGAAATGGCTAAATAAACTAGGGATCCATCAATGAAATGCAATGTAACCAGTAAAGACTGTTGGAAGATTACATAATGACATGAAAAATGTGTACATGCAGCATTAAGTAAAAAAAGCAGAATAAAAAATTGCAGGTCTAAAATCACAACTAAAATGAAAATCCATGAAAATGAAGAAGGAAAGAAAAGAATGCTCAAAAATTAAAATGGACATGTTAAGATGGGTAAATTATCAATAATTATTTTTATTTTTTCCCCAAATTTCCTGCAAAGTTCTTATTTTCTTAAGTATAAATCATGTATAACTTTTCATTTTTATTTACTTTCTAGTTCTCTGTTTATATTACCAGAACTTATCTTCAAGACTAATTAACAAAAACAGTAACATGGAAAACTCAAGAAATATATTCTGAAATTCCAATACTTGGTGTGCTATGTATGAACTAGATGACTTCAAAGTTCATTACAGTAAAAGCTAATATAAAAATATAAATCCTCCTCTACAGAAAGCTGCAACTCAGACTGCTATAAATGCTTCAACTTTTTTTTTTAGGCTGGGAAAGTGAACAAGTACTAGATATTCAATAAATACTTGATGAATAAATAAATAAACCAGAGCAGAAACCAAACAGAATATAAAACTGTCTTAGTAACTAATTTATAGATACGTTTTGTGAAAGGGGTTTTCTTTTAATGATATGTGAGCTGGTCTGACTTACAACAATGTTCTTAAATGCCAGTATTCAGTTAGTGGGGCTTTTCTGGCTGACAAACTCATTACCAATAGTCAATTTAGGGTCTTCACTAGGCTGACAGCTTATTCAGAATCTCCCCTCACACTACTTCAGGCAAACTAAAAACACGAGGTTCTGCATTCAGGGTATAGAAACCTATTAATATTGCAGAGTTCATTTATTTTTATTGCTAAAAATTCCAATATTCTCACAGTTAATCTACACCAGGATAATAAATATCTTTAAAAGGAAGCCCTTAAATCCTTTGTGGCAATGTCACTTGAAAACTAAGGAAAGTGCCCGATGGTCAAACTGAATAAGGCCACTACCTTAGTTTAAAAAAATTAAATCCTTTATGGGAAAAACATTAGTAGGCAACAAAGAATTAAATTCACTAGTGAGGAAAACCTCTGCATTTGGCAGTTTTACTACAAATAAATATTCAATAAAGGATAATTGAATAGAAGTGAGCTACCTGATGGGAGGCATCTGGGTATCAGCTCTCAGCAGTCTTCTATGAACCTCTAGTGGAGCTGATCTTACACTTTTCTGGCAACTTTGCAATCCTCGTAAATATGGCATTTTGACACATTCTTTGAATTCTTCTAGACCAAATGCTGTGGTGTATTCTAATTAAAAGTAGTATAATCATCTGTATTATTTCTTGGTTAAATGTATATAGCTTCTTTTACTGCTTACTAAAATACATGATGAAAGATACTAAGTCAGTCATTAAGTAATGAAAATTAAGTTACTGTACTTTATCACACATCTTTCCCAAGGGAATACCTTTCAATTCCTAGTATAGGGACTATAGGAAAGAGTCAATGAAGGGACTGATTAAGGAGAATAAGGAAAAAGGACAGTTCCACAGATTCCCCCCAGTCATCACTGTCCTCTGCCTTCATTATTTTATGTAATTAGAGTTTCCAGGATATTAGATAAATTCACACTGAAATACTTTCAGTCACTTTCAAGAGTCTTGTATTATTGGTTACTTTAAATTTTCCCACCTTCCTGTTTTTATGGAAATAATCCAGAAGTATAAATACATGATCATCTGAAAAAGCAATGAGAGATAAAAGAATTCTATTTCAAGCATTGATTTTTATTCTCTCTCTGCAAAATTCCACACCAAATCTGTAAACAGCTACATTGAAGCATCAAGATTGTTTCTTCTACTGACCCCACACATCTTTAGACAAAGAGATTGCCAAATTATTAAAAAAAAACAGAAACAAAAAAACTTCAAAACAAAGGCAGTCAATAGAAAAGGCAGATTAAGAGATTAAAGGTTTGGATGATCCTTAAAATAAGCATAGAGAATTGTTTTTTAAGCTCTCTCTAACTAAGCTAGTCTAGGACAGCAAGAAAAATAGTATTTAATGAGACTGGAGTTAAAAGCTCAATGTGATTTCATAACCTTTGATTTTTCCTCTTTTGGAAGAAAGACTTTCCTCTTGTAAAAACCATTCCTCTAAAAACAGATTTTGTTTTCAGCAATTAGATTTGTGGATAGGAGGGAAGGTAAACTGATATCTTCTATGTACCTTTAATGGAATCTAGTGAAAAAGTTGAAAAAATACAGCACCACACTCAAATAAGGAGTGATAAAATGGTGTTAATTTTGCTATTTTCAAGAATTTTATTTTATCTCCACTAAAAAAGCTGAAGGCAGAATTTAGGAAAAACAAGAAATACAATTATAATTTGAAATTAAAGGAGGAAAGCTTTTCATACACTCTTATACAAGACGAAATTCTCAAATTAGTCTTTACTGACCAACTATAGGATATAAGATACTTTCCATTTAACTCTCTAAAAAATAAAGTTTTGGTTAGAATTATTACGACAAAAAGGTGCTGTTAAAACTTTAGTTTCCTTAAAACATAAAAACCAACTTAAGGCATTAAAAATAAACACTATTTGCTTATGTAGTATGATCCAACAGAGACAGTATTGCATTGATACCAAGAGAACTAATTCTTTAAAATTTGATCCTATCACGAGTAAGAGAATTACATTAAGTAGATTAATTTTCATTTGCTTCCACTTTTCTTTTTCATAAGTCTAAGATATAATCCTTACAAAAATGTTACAGGAATTATAAATGTCTCTTGACTACTTAAAAAAACACATGTCAATTCAAGGTATTATTTCTATACTTTTTGAGCAAATAAAAGTAAAAATGAAGTTACCTCTATTCATCTTTTGTGTTTCTAAAACAGCTTTCCTCCAACTACTCTCAGAAAGAAAACATCTGTCAAGGGAATTTCTGGCAACATTAGAAGCCTCAAATTTGATTTCAGGAGATAGCACTGGCATTTTTTCTTCTTCTTTCAACAGTGCTGATGAAAGTGAGATGCTGCTCCAGATTCAGGATAGAAAATAGAAAAGAAAAAAAGTATTTAAGAGATAAATATTTTTTCTAATTTATTTTCCATCATACAGATTAAATACTAGTAAACCTAAATGAAAAGTTTATCAATCATGATGTAAAAACGAATTTGGGGGAGTTTTAAAGCAACAGGCCTTAATAGCTAAAATATGTAGGAAGAGTTTTTTTTCTTTAAATATTTTAATGAATTTTTTCAAAATTACAGATCACAGGTATTTGGCTATATAAGAAAATATAAAGTCCAACAGCAAGTTATCATGCATAAAACAATAAAATGCTTAGGATTCTTTCAAAAATATTACCATCATACAGTATGACCAAGGAGGGTCTTTGGGACACAGAATGGTTCAACATACAAAAATTAAATGAAGGATTGAAAGATCACATGATCATCTCAATATATGCAAAAAAGGCATTTATAAAATTCAACATCCTTTCATAAAAAAAACTTTTAAAAACTTGGAACAGAAAGAAATTCTCTCAACATAATAAAGGCTATATATATGAAAAGCCCACAGCTAACATCACACTCAATGGTGAAAAGCTGAAAGCTTTTCCTCTAAGATCAAGAACAAGGTAAGGATGTCCATTCCTCATTTCTATTTAACATAGTACTGGAAGCCCTAGCCACAGCAATTAGGAAAGAGAAGGCATCCAGATTGAAAAGGAAGAAATATATATATGAAACCCTAAAGACCCCACCAAAAAATGTTAGAATAAGGAAATTCAGTAAAGTTGCATAATACAAAATCAACAAACAAAAATCTCTCTCATTTCTATACCCTAACAACAAACTATCTGAAAAGGAAATTGGGAAAACAATCCAATTTATGGTAACATCAAAAAGAATAAAATATTTAGGAATAAACTTAACTAAGGAGTGAAAGACTTGTATGCTAAAAAAAATATAAGCATTGAAAACAAATTAAGGAAGAGATTAACAGTAGAAAGACAGCCCATGCTAACAGATTTGAAAACGTCATTTTGTCAAAATATCCATACTATCCTAAGTGATCTACAGACTCAATGCAATCCTTATCAAAACCCCAATGCCATTTTTACAGATATAGTAAAAACCATAATAATTAAAACAATATGATACTGGCAAAAGACATATAGGCCAATAGAACAAAATAGAGAGTCCAGAGATAAATCCACATATCTAGAGTCAACTGATCTCTGACAAGGATGTCAAGAATACACACTAGGGACAGATAGTCTCTTCAATAAACAGTGCTGGGAAAACTGGACATCCATATGCAAAAGAATGAACTGAACCCTTATCTTACACCATACACAAACAACTCAAAATGGATTGAAGACTTAAACCTAAGACCTGAAACTGACACCCCTAGACAAAAACATAGGGGGAAAGCTTTATGACACTGGTCTTACAATGGTTTTATGGATATGATACCAAAGCACAGGAAAGGAAAGCAAAAATAGGCAAGTGAGACCTATATCAAACTAAAATGCCTCTGCATAGCAAATGAAATAATCAAAGAAGTAAAAAGGATACCTACAGAAAGAGAAAAAATATTTGTAAATATTTGATATATATTTGATAAGGGGCTATGATCCAAAATATAAAAAGAACACCTACAACTCCATAGCAAAAAAATAAATAAATAAATAAAATCTGATAATCCAATTAAAAAATGGGTTAAGGACTTGAATAGTCATTTCTCCAAAGAAAACATACAAATGGCCAACAGTATTGAAAAGATCCTCAAAATCACATTAATTATCAGGGATATGCAAATCAAAACCACACTGAGATATTATCTCACACATTTTAGGATGGTTAATATAAAAAACAGAAAACAAAAAGGTAAGTGCTGGTGAGGGTATAGAGAAATTGGAACCCTTGTATGGTATTTGTGGAAATTCAGAATGGTGTAGCCACAGTGGAAAATAGTATGAAGACTGTTCAAAAAGTTAAAAATAGAACTATCATGTGATCCAGAAATCCCACTTCTGGGTATTTACTCAAAAGAATTGAAATCAGAATCTCAAAGAGATACTAACATTCCCATGTTCACTGTGGCACTATTCACAATGGTCAAAATGTAGAAACAACATAAATGTCCGTCAGCAGATGAATGGATAAAGAAATTTTGGTATAGATATACAATGGAATATTGTTCAGCTACAAAAAAGAAGGAAATCCTGAAATATGCTACAACATGGATGAACCTTGTGGGTATTATATTAAATAAAATAAGCCAGTCACAGGACAAATACTAGAATTCTACTTACAGGAAGTATCTAACAGTCAATGCATAGAAGCATTGAATAGTGTTTGTCAGGGGATAGGGGAGAAGGAAATGGGGATTTGCTAATTAGCTTCCCTAATGCCCCAGTCTGGGTTAGGTGTCCCTCCTGGATGCAGTCTAGCACCCTGTACTGAATTCCCTTTAGAGAACTTAACTGCACTGTATTACCTGTTTCCTTTCTGTGTTTCCTTTACTGAACTCTTAAACTCCTCAAGAGCAGAGACTGGTTTTGTTTTGTCATGTTTCTCCAGTGTCTTGTGAGATTCTTGGCATAGAATCAACCATCAGTTAATATTTTTTGTGAGTGAATGAGCACAGCTGAATCTGGATAACTAGAATTCTTTTGCTCTGAAGACTGCAGAAAATGAATATAAAATGCCCAGCAAGGAACATAGAATAATGGGCATTCAATTTAATTTACCTGGGGTGGCTGTCGTTCTCCTGAGAGGGCTGCGTCTTGCTCTGGGTTGTTCTCTCTTCAGAGTTTAGTAATGCCTTGCCTGTAGTAGACACCTAATATGTATGATTGAATTGAATACATAGTAAATAAGCAAGATACATGACTGATTATTCTTCTGTGCCCATAGGTTAGAATAAAAGTAAAGGCTATTATGAAAACATGTTTAATTTCCACAGATCATAGAAATCATCTTTTTATCAGGCCTAAAAAGGGATGGTTAAAAAAAAAACACACATAGAAAGAGATAATAAATAGAACAAAGTACATATGTTGTAGGGCAGGCCAAAAAGAACTCACTTAAAACAAATGCTTTCTCAAATTAACAGTAACGAGAGACTCAGGATTGAGATAAAATAATTGTTTAAAACTAATAGCTGTAAAATAACTAATATTTTCAGGGCATACCAAAATAAGTGCACACTTAAACATTTTTTACATGAAAATATAATGGAACAATTTAAAAGTTTTTTATTTTATTGTGGCATAAACACTTAACATGAAGTTTACCTACTTAATAGATTTTAAAGTACAATATGGTATCTACAGGTACAATGTTGAAGAGTAGATCTCTAGAATTTACTAATCTTACATAACTATTGTAAGTATTTTTAAATTAAGATTACCTTTTTATCACCTAGTTTACAACTAGAAGGAAATGTTAATTAAATGTTTTGTTCACTATTCATCCATCCATTCATTCACTTAATAAAAATGTCTTGATGACAATCATATGTGAGGCACTAAGGATCTAAGGGTGCATGTCGCCACATACCGTGTCTGTTGTCCTGAAGCTTAGTTGGGGAGACAGATATAAAGGAAGCAAATAAATGAACAAAGTTTATTTCAGATAAAACACAATGAAAGTAAAGCCAATCCTCATTATTTGAGATAGCTAGGTTCTTTAAAGTTGTTGTGAACACCGAATTGGTGAATACTGAACTAATGTTCCTAGGGAAAATATTAAATTAGGTTCCTGTGAGAATCTGGGCACAACATTTTTGTCAACTGATCAATACATATTCTTGTTTTCAGTGTGTTTTTGTTTAAAGACCCTTTATTTATTATATATTGTTGATTCATTAACATTGACCTCACGGCCAACAGCACTGTAACTCATGCCTGAAGAAAGCTTATCTTATATATTTTCTCCAGAAGACACTGCACAGTCTTTTTGCTCTTAAGAACATTAGACAGGAGTTTAGCACTACACTTACAGTTAAATCACCAAAAAAAAAAAAGCACAAACATGAAAAACATGGTACTAAAGAGATGGTGAAAAGGACATTTGCTTATAATATAAGACCTCAAACAAGAAGGCAAAGCATCCCCTTGTTTGACCTGAGCTGGAAACTGTGTGTCAGGCAACTCAAATTTTCCTTTCTGCACATGTCTGCAAATAACCTGGAATGTACCATAAGTATTGATTTCAGGGTTACAAATAAATTTTAATGATAGGTGAATTAGCAAATAGAGAATCCATGAGAAATGAGGATTGACTGTAATTTACCATGGCAATGTGCCAAGGAGCAGGAAAGATTTCAGACTGAGTGGTTAAGAAGGCCCCTTAGATAACATAATCTTGAACAAAGATCTGAATGGACCAGAAGTGGCCAGAGATATCTGAGGAAAATGTAAGGCGGGAGAGCATTCTTCACAAAGAGAACAGTGAGGGGAAAGGCCCCAAAGCCAGAATGAGGTTAGCATGTTCCAAAGTAGAAAAACTTCTGTGTATTAACATCTATGCCATCCAATAGAATAGCCACTAGACATACATGACTACTGGGCACTTGAAATGTGGCTATAGTCAGAATTGAGATGTTCTGTAAGTGTAAAATACACATCAGATTTCAAAGACTTTGTGTAGAAAAAAAGAATGTGAAATAGCTAAATAATAAGCTTTATATTGATTTTATACTGAAATATTTTGAATAAGTTGAATTAATAAAATACATTATTTAAATTTCACTTGTCTATTTTTACCTTTTTAATGAGGCCTCTAGAAAATTTTAAATTATATATGTGGCTTACAAACATGGGGAGGGAAGTAAGATTGGAAAGATAGCAGGTATCCCAATACATTAGGGCTTTATAACCCATAATAAAGAGTGGATTTTATTCTAAGTACATTGAAAATCTATTGAAAAATTCTGAGTAGGAAAGAAACATATTAGAGTTGGGTAAAAAAATAAATCTCAAATAAAAAGATGCATACAGGACACTGTGGAAATACAAAGAGAGTAGTTAATTCCCAGGAAAAACTTTGAGGAGATGACCCTTAAGCTAAATCCAGATCAGGGAGGGGGGTCAGGCCACTCTGCAGAGTGTCATTGCTGGGCAGTGACAGGATAGAATGAACTGCTCTATTCAAGGAACACAAGTAGTTAAGTATGACTAAAGTGACAGTCTCTTACATGATATTTTTCAAGGAATCCTAAATCTGTATCTTCAGGTCTCTCTTCTGAGCAATAGCCATATATACACATCTACTTATTCGACAGCTTTTCTTGGAAAGCTCATTTACCTATCAAAGTCTGTTCCCTTCAGTATTCCCTAACACAGTACATGTCATTGCCATCTCCAATCATATAAGGTAGAAACCTGGTAGCCAACACTAACAACCTCTCTTTTCTCCAAAATGTAGTCATTTAACAAGGCCTATTGATCTTACTGCCTAAGTATCTCCTAATCTGTCCACGTCTCTGCATCTCCACCGTAGTTCAAACTATCCTCATCTCCTGCCCTGGATTAGTGCATTAGGTTTTTAACTGCTCTCCTTATATCTACTCAAATTCTCCTAGCCTAAAATCTGAATTTCCAAATCCTAATGAAGGTACCTTAACTGTTTTATTTTTTTAATGATTCTTTCCTCTTCTCATATCTCCATTCACCTGGAGAACAGAAAGTACATAGAGGAAGGGGGAAGCAGAAGAGCTAACACCTTTCAGCTCAGTTAGTATTACTACAGAGTTGGCAAGCAGCCTTTTGGGCTTTTTGACAGATGGATAGACATGCTCCCTGGTTCCTCTCATAATTCTAAGATGGAAGCAACCCATGAAGATCTTCTTCCTTAGGATACCTTGCTCAAAGTTCTTACACAGTCAACTGGGGAGTCACTGAAACATAGAAAAAGAGAGTCAGAATACTAGAGTTTTTACTTCAGTTCTTGGATCCTTTGCTCTGGTAAGAGAATCGATCTTCTGCTTGAGTCATCACCAATGGGTATTCTAATTTGAGACTCCCAGATATGCACTCCAGGACCTACAGATGTTCTTATTTGATAATTTGGACAATATTCACTATGTTTAAAATGTTACATGGAACATTTTAAACTGATGTTATTCTCAGCAATCACTTTAGGCAGTTTATGGAGGCGAATTTATGGAAATACATATTACATTTGGTTCTAATGAATACTGATAACATCTAACTTTAAGAAGTTAACACAATGATGAAACATATGTAAGAAATTCCAACACTCCTGAACCAGTGAAGCCATTAAAGCTCCCCCACCCTTCTACCTTACCTTTTCTCATTAATCCATTCTCCATACAATAGTCTCTTTGTGGAAATAAGAGTAAAGTAAATCAACAAAGTAAATCTCATTATGTCACCTAGCTGCTCAAACTTTCAACAGCTTTCCATTGTTTTGGGTCAAAAGACAAAAATCCTTAATGTCATACAAGATAGTGGCCAGTTTGGCTTCCACGCTTCTATCTTCTTCTCATTCTAGTCTCCTGGCCACAGTAGCCTTCTTTATTTTCATGTGAGACTTGGGAGGTAGGGCAAGCTCTTTTCAACCTCAGGGCCTTTGGACATACAGAACTTCATTTATCCTGTGTCTAATTAAATTGTCCTTTAAATATCTGCTCAAATGATACTTCCCTAGGGAATCCTTTCCTAATCCCCAAAAACAAATCAAGGCTTTCTGTTATTTGTTAATAGCAATCTGTCATTTCCTTCATAGCATTAATCATAGTTTATAATCATCTATTTATACGTGATTATTTAATATCTGTCTCTGAAACTGGTGTTTGAATCGAACTCCAAAATCTATTTTGCTAACTCTAGTTTTCATACAGAATCCTCCAAGAACTGTTCCCAACTTACCTCTGTAATCTTATCACTGGATAGTTCCCCCTCCCCCATATTCCAATTCAGGAGTCAGCGAACTATGGTCCCCAGGTCAAATCCAGCCTGCCATCTGTTTTTAGTAAATAAATTTGCATTGGAACACAGAAACAAATGCCCATTTGTTTACATATTTTCTATAGCTTCCTTTGGCCACAAGAACAGAGTTGAGTAGTTACAACAGAAACTGTATGGCTCACAAAGCCTAAAATACTTACTAATTTTACCAAAGTTTGCCAGCCCCTGCTCTAAATTGTTCAACAATGACCTATTGTGTACTTCGTGTTATTCTAGTTTAAATTCTTAAATTTAAAATATATATGTAATAGGAATTCAACTTACTTTCCCAAGCATCCTATCTTGAAGTTCATCCACCCTATTTTGGAGACAACAGCTATAAACAGTGGAAGTTGTTGAAGGATTAGACCTAAGGGTTAAACATATTGCTCTAACTTTAACAATATTGGAAAAGAGAACAGGGCAAGGAAGCCAACAGGGAGACTACTACAATGATCTAGGTGAAGGGTAGTGAAGCCCTAAGCCAAGGAAAAAAGCAGATTGAAAGACAAGGTAGAGGTTAATGAGGTAGCATCTAGAGGACCTGGGAACTCTGCATGACTGGTATTGCTCCCAATGCTAGGAAGAGGGAATGCGCAACCAGTTTGAGTGAAAAGAGAAATTCAGCTGTGAATAAAATGGATTCAAAGTTCCAGTGTGACATTCACAGAAGGAGATGTCCAGAGGTGGGAGTGGGTTTAGCCAAGCGATACCTATTTGGTAGTCATCAGCATAGTTAAAACCCTGAGAATACACAGGCCATCTAGGGGGAGTGGAGAGTACAAGCGAAGAGTGGAGAGTAAGAGCAAGTCCAACGGCACCAATATTTGAGGGACAGGCAGAGAATACGTTGGCTACATAAAAGACT